CCCCCCGCCCCGGCAAACAGACAAACTAACTCGATGTAAAGCCCAGTCTTCCTGGAGCCTAATTTCTAACCTTTAGCAAGAGCTGGGAGTCATTTTTCTTTGATGTCAATGCAAATAGGATTAAACTTTAGCTGACATAGTGAAGTTGTCAGAATTTCCAGCTCTTGTCATTAATGGACTAAAAAAGGATCAATTTCCAAATTTCTTGTGAAATGCTGTCTCTGAAAAACTTTTTCAGGGAAATACTGTATGCCCTTTTAAAAATGTTTTGTTTGCAGTAATGTTGAAGTGCTTCATTATGATTTTTATACACAAATTGAGAAAATATGCAGGTCAAAATATCGTGGTCATTAAAAATGGGCTGCTTTTCTTTTTTTTTTTTTTTTTTTTTCCCCCTCCTGATCTCATCAGAGTGTTCTGACAGACAGTTTACTGGTGGAAAACTTCAAGTCGTTTAGCATTCAATCTGGGCAACCTAACTGTATAACTACGAGTTCCTGCACCTCTTCTTCTGAGGTTGCAGTTGCTCCCACAGTGATTCTTTGCAGTGATGATTCTCCTGCTTTACTGTGGAGCTGCACAGTCGTTCTTTCTGATTCTGTTTGTTCTGCATTTAACTTCTGAGAAATGCTGTGCCTTTGTGGAATTCTGCACTCTGCTTTGCAGATTGCATACGTATATGCGTGGAACGATTGTACTTGTTCTGCACAGCTGTGCTGTAGGTGTACATGGTTTTAGCTATCTTGAGTTCATTCGGTAGCTGAGGTGGGATTCTGAACAGTGTTTGGATATATTTTTTTATTACTTCCTTTGAATTTGCTTCAGTTAAATAATTTGTAACATGTTTTGTGTCTTTTCTTTGCTTTTTGGTTTAGGTTTTTATTTGAAAACCAGACTCCAGCCCATGTATATTATAGATGGAAGCTCTATTCAATTCTTCAGGCAAGTTGCATTTTAGTGACAATTTATAACTTCAAGCATAATGAAATACAAGAACACCAAAATAAAAATACTTTTGTTTTTTGGTAGGGAGATGCTCCAACCAAGTGGAGGACAGAAGATTTTCGTATGTTCAAAAATGGATCATTTTGGAGGCCACCACCATTGAATCCATATTTGCACGGGATGTCAGAAGAGCAAGAAACAGAAGCGTTTGTGGAGGAAACAAACAAGAAGGGTGCACTTAAGGAAGAGTATGAACTTCCATCAATTTATAGTGATGTTTTAACTGCCAATCTGCTTGGTTTTTTCCTGCTGTGTTTTTGTAGTTGTAATATGTCATCCCTAAAATGTTATCATGCTTGTCATAATATTAGGAACTCTCTTAAGCTCAGTGCTTTTCAGTTAGTCTTTTTTGATGATACTTGTTGCTAAATACGTTCTGGATTTGGTTAGATTTGTTATCATTGAACAATGAATCCTTTCAATCCAATTGTTATTAACCCTTTATTTGAAGGGGATTGGGAAGATGAGTTTTTTTCCTCATTTTCTGTTCCTATCTGTTGGTGGATGTATATAGCACCTTTCTCAACATTGTTATGATCTCATGAACTGAACAGCTATTATAAGCTTAAACTTATTGATGCTGTTCATCAGAAATTAAAATTGGGAGCAGTTGTTAATAAGGAGGAAGAGACAGATCATCAGAATTCTTTGCTGGGAATTGTAAGTAAGGTGGGAATGGCTATGCTAGTGGAAATATATACATAATTTTCTTAATTTTGCTATTATTGTTCCAACTGTGTTCTTAGCATGTGGAATTTTTTCTTGTTTTATTCTTTTCATCATAGTTATGATACCGGTCGTGGTTCTGGAGGTTTTAATACATAATTTATTTCTTACATCATCTTTTTGAAAGGCTCAAAAAGATATTCTTTTGAGAGTGTTCTCTATATATGGAGGTTAGGGAAAACATGAAATAACTGAATTGCTTTCTGAATCTAATGTTTCTTATTCCACAGCAGAAATTACTTGCATGCTTTAGATTTATCCATTTTGATTTACACTTAAACTAATCCAAACTAATTTTGGCTTATCCAAAAAGATAATTACTTTGTTAGAGATACTGATCTGCTGCATTAGGTATTTCTCAGTTATTTTGCCTTGATTTCTGTGTGTAGTCAAGACTTGAGTGGGAATTTTTTACACTTTGTTTATTTATGTAATGTGGATGCATATATTCATGAGTCACTGAAAACACTCAGGCAACGGAATATAAAAATATTTAAAATTGCTTTTGTCCTAAAGATGGAAAAATCAAAAACATCATTAAATGGAAATTCCCCAAAGTACTGTTAATTTTATATTGAAAATATTAAAATTCCTGATATTTCAGACAGAGAGACAAATTAGAGGAAATTCTGCGTGGATTAACACCTCGGAAGAATGATATTGGTGATGCAATGGTTTTCTGTCTAAATAATGCAGAAGCTGCTGAAGAAATTGTAGACTGCATTACAGAATCATTGTCCATTCTGAAGACTCCTCTTCCTAAGAAGGTGTGGAGATTTTTAATAATCTTGTACTTTGGGGGAGGAGCTCACTTAACAGCACGTGCATATAATTTGCAAGTGTTATTTTGTAAATTTCAGATAGCATTGAGGTTTTGTATTAAAACGTGGGCTTGAATTTAAGTATGCTTTTTTCCTGTGGGATTTTGTTATATATTTTTATTCTTTCTGAACCTGCTTGTAAATAATGTTCTACCTTACTGGGAAGTTGAAAACAGCAGGATAGTCTGTTCAAACAAGGAAATAAAAATTGGAATGCCATGATCTGTCCTTTGTAATACTGTGTAATACCATATTACAGTGGCTAGTACCCTGTAGCATAACAGGGGCTAATTGCCACTTAACATGTTTATTAATAATATGGCTGTGTTACACTTAGTTCTAATTTGATACTTTTAGATAGTTTAAATTATCCTGAAAATATATGCATTTTTCCAGAAAGAATACTTAATTTGAACATTCTTTATTGTAGATTGCAAGATTATATCTAGTATCGGATGTGTTATACAACTCTTCAGCTAAAGTTGCCAATGCTTCCTACTATAGAAAATTGTAAGTATAATATTTTAGGTGATCGATGGTTTAAAAAAAAGGGAATATCCTTATATTCAGTTTCGTATATCTCTGGATAAATGTGATTGTAGAGAAATTCACACTTTTCTGTGAGGATACTGTTACAACACTGGTGATATTTATGTGTCTCTGCATGAAAATGTGTAAGATGTAGCATGTTAGTCCATAGGATTACTTTGTAATGCAACAAGAAGTGTATATGCCCTATGCAAGGGACCGCTTGCATGGAACTTAATAGAGGTGAGAATAACTCACGTGCCTTTTTACAGAGAGAGAGCCTGAAGATAATATTCAAGATATGGTATAGCAGGTAATCCATGCAAAGAAGTCGATTTTTGAAATACAATTTTTTTGATTAAAAGGTATTTTTTTTATTCTCCATTAAGTTTGGAGAACTTATAAGGGGATTATGTACTTTGTTTCTAAGGTGCTGAGCAGAATTTAGGAAAAATGTCCAAGGGAGAATACCTTTGTCTTATTTAGATATTTGATTGTGTCTACTTCCTGGAGTGTGTCTAGTGTTGTGGTAGCATGATGGGGAATATTCAGCATTTTAAAAAACTCTAGCGATTGCAAATGGTGTTTCTTGTTGCAGTGTATCCTTGCTGTGCCAGTTTATTTTTTGCACATTGAGAGAAGCTCAAAGGAAGCTAGGCAGCTGTTACTCACTGTGCTTTCATTGAGGGCCTCATTGAGTAAATTAGAATAGAAACATAACTAAGAATTTTTTAAAAACACAAACTGAATTTTGAGACAATTCTTTCATTGTATATAAAGCTGTAAAACTCCTTTTATTCTCCTCTAATCTTTCCAGTCTGTACAAAGAGACTGCAGCAGATGTGAAGATCTCCCTTCACAGTTCTGTTGTTGTCCAAGGTGATTTAATACATAGCAATCATATTTGCTTTATAGTTCAGTTCATGGCTACTATAGGGATCAGAACCTTGAGCTTTTGAGTCCTGTGTCCCAGGTATTTTTGTGAATTATGTATGTCCAGAAAACATATTACAAAGTTTAACTAAAGAAATGTATATGTTTAATTCTAGTTTTGAAACAAAATTATGTCAGATATTCTCTGATCTCAATGCTACTTACCGTACAATACAAGGCCATTTACAGTCTGAAAATTTCAAGGTATGTATTTCATTGTTATTTACATGACACAGAAGTCAAATAAATAGATGTTCCTGCACAAGAGATTGCATACTATGATAGGTGGCTTAGACCTCAAGCTTTTTAATTAAGCTTTTTTTGTTTTGTTTTGGTTTGTTTTTTTTAAATAATTAAGTCTTCTCTCTTGCAAAAATAGCCTTGAAATTAAGGAAGAAAATGAGCATCTAACAGCTGAAGTGTACTGGTAGATGTATAGTTGTGGAGTTGAGAGGATATCTGTCTAGTACTTGAATTGCAAACAAGGCCTTCTAGCTTTCTGATTATTTTTGGACCACCTATATTTCAGTTTCAAAAATAAATTTGGGCTGCTCAGTGTGGAAAGAAACTGCTGAACATAACAGCACAAAATTACTTTTTAAAATTTTTGTGATAGTTAGGCTTTATTTTTTGAGGACTGATAAGCAGTTTGACCATGGGTAGTTTAGAATGATTTTTGAGATTAAGTGCTCTGCTCATCATTCTCATGCTCAGCCTAGCTTTTCCTTCGCCTGTGTTAAAGATGCCTCTACAGTTCTTTTTTTCCTTTTTTCTTTTAAATCAGAAGCTTTAAATACAAAGCTTACAGTGTAGTTAGTTTTTCTGTATTAAGGTCTTTATCCTGGTTGTCCTACCTTCTCTGCTCCCAGTTGCTCTAAATTGAGAATAAATTTTAGTTATCTGCTATTTTAAAACTGTTTATTAAATTATATGGTAAAGACAGGCAGTAGATTTTTTTTTTATATCTGCATCTGCAGCTACATTTAATGTGTCAAGCTTGAGCTGACGCCCATCATTTCAAATGTACTTCATTTCTTCAAAAAAATGAAAGTAGGAACATAATTTCCGTTCAACAATATGAATAAGCCAGTGTTAATTTTAGTTATTTTATTTTACAAAGAGAAAGATATTTTCTGTTACATTTAGTAGAGGCACCTGCTTCGAACATCTGGGCAGAATGGAATTTACTATTGGATAGGAACTGTGAACAGCTGGAATTGATAATGTAACAGGAATTTAAAGGGAAAATGAAACCCAAGTGAGATTTTTTTTAAAAGTAGTTCCTATATACATATTTTTATAAATATGTATAAATACTAGTCTTGCCCAGCATGGTATCATTGTAATATACTCCAGTTTGCAACTGCTTAGGAGTAGCTGTCTACACTAGTAGTTCTCTGTGGTGTATTTCCGATCACTTAAAATTTCTTAATACAAATTTACTAGCATTTTTTTCCTTTTGCTTCTAGCAACGGGTAATGACGTGCTTCCGAGCATGGGAAGACTGGGCGATCTATCCAGAACCATTTCTGATCAAACTACAGAATATTTTCTTGGGGCTTGTAAATATCATGGAAGATAAAGAAACAGAGGTAAGTGACCGTGGTAGTGATGCTAGCAGATGATGAGGAAAAATGTGTAAGTATAAAATAGGGCTGGCAGGGATTATTTTGATATCTCTGTTAGGGTGAATAAACCTTTTTTTCCTCTGAATCCTTGCTCTTAAATAGAGGTGTAATGGATATTTTCAGATGCAAATACTGTTTAATCTGTTTATGTATTTGTTGTAGATTAGGTGCTGTGGTGGAGTTACATTGTGAAACCAGAGCAAAGACTAGTGCAGAATGACAGGTATTTCCTATGTATTGGAAATACTCTGTAGTATCTGTCTGTGAATTTTGAGTTAGAATATCAGGCATTAGTTTTAATTTCTGAGACTTCTAAATAGCTAGGCATCTGGTTACCTGAATCATCTACTTTGTTTTTGTGTGAGTGTCACACTTGGATGTAATAAAGCCATCTGAGCTTTCTTAGTTTGAGAGGAACGTTGTGATAGATCATTTACACTGATGATACTCTACTTTGATCTTTGCTGTGTGGTATTAAAGCAGTAAGTTGCTAACTTTCTAGTTATGCTACAGCATTTCTCTCTTCTCTTTTTTTCTTTTTTTTTGATATTTTAAACAGGTTATTTTAGACAGGATATGTAGCGAGTTTTAGTTATTGCATAGTGACATGTATAAATTATTATTCAATATTTTGAAGCTCTATGCTTAAAACTTCTAGAATACCATTAGTACTGACTGAATGCGTACTGATCTGTTCACAGTTATGTATAAATATCATTTTAGAGAATCAAGACAGTGGACACTAATAAGTGGGTGTATGTTTAGGATAAGTTAATTTTGTAACTCTGGAATCATGCCTTTCAGAACAGTGGGAGGGAGACTTATATATAATTGGAAGGTTAGTTTATTTCCCTTAGCAGTAGAGCAGGGTGAATGTGCATGTATGAAGGACAGTGCCTGTACCTAGCAAGTTAGAATATGTGGGTGTATTTATCATTTATGTGTGTTCCTTAAATTTGTGTTCCTGCTAAATAGTTAATTTCTGTCAGTTGTTCAGGTTACTGGTTCTCAGGGCATCTTTCATATGTAGTAAGTATAATTTATCTGACTGTAATTGGCTCATTTTGAGCTAAACTTCAGCTTAATATCTCTTCTTTTGAATATAGGTATTGCAAAGCTTCCAGTACGTTGTGGACAAATTCCAAGTTTTTGCTTATAACTTTTTATAGGAGGATATTGTCGTATTTTTCCTCTGCAATAAGCAACTGTACTTGGTTGCAAAAATTGTTAAAGTTGAGGTTTTTGGGTTCTGGATTTTTTTTTTTAAAGCTACTTCTTTAAAAAGAAATGAATCAATAATTGGAGAAGTAAAGAAAAGCAATGTAGATTTGTTCTTGAAATAATTAATTATTATTTGCTTTCAGGAAGTACCAGATGATCTTGATGGTGCTCCCATTGAGGAAGAGCTTGATGGTGCTCCACTAGAAGATGTGGATGGAATTCCTATTGATGCTGCTCCTATTGATGATCTGGATGGAGTCCCAATTAAATCACTGGATGACGATCTTGATGGAGTTCCGTGTACGAAATGTTTCAACTTTATTTTCAATTTGAATCTTCAATTTTTTATGATCTTTTTTTTTTCCCCCGAGTAGTTTTTACAAGTTGTCGTGGTTTAACCCCAGCCGGCAACTAAGCACCGCACAGCCGCTCGCTCACTCCTCCCTGGTGGGATGGGGGAGAGAATCGGAAGGGTAAAAGTGAGAAAACTTGTGCAGTTTAATAAGCAAAGCAAAACAAGGAATTCATTCACTACTTCCCATCGGCAGGCAGGTGTTCAGCCATCTCCAGGAAAGCAGGGCTCCATCACGCGTAGCAGTTACTTGGGAAGACAAACACCATCACTCTGAATGTCCCCCCCCTTCCTTCTTCTTCCTCCCCCTTTATATGCTGAGCATGATGTCATATGGTATGGAATATCCCTTTGGTCAGTTGGGGTCAGCTGTGTCCCCTCCCAACTTCTTGTGCACCCCCCTCGCTTGTGGGATGGGGTGAGAAGCAGAAAGCTGTATAAGCCCTGCTCAGCAGTAACTGAAACATCCCTGTGTTACCAACACTGTTTTCAGCACAAATCTAAAACATAGCCCCGTACTAGCTACTGTGAAGAAAATTCACTTTTTCCCAGCCAAAACCAGCACACAAGTACAGCCAAGAATTAACATGGCATGTAGCTTCATAAAATGTTGAATTGATTAGTTTCAATTTGTTCTAAGAAGAATTAGTTTAAAAACTGCTTTTAGATTGCAGTTGCTTCAGAGACACAGGAAGTGTCTTCTGATGTTATGCACATCAGGTTCCAAATCCTAATTTATTTTCTTTGCAAATAGTAAAACGGTATAATATGCTTCAGTATTTAAATCTGATTGTTATATTAGGATTTTTCCGTTTGAACTTTTGAAGAGCTTTGGAGATGATTTTTCTGTCTCTCTCCAACAGTGGATACTGCTGAAGACTCAAAAAAGAATGAGCCTATATTTAAAGTTGCCCCTTCGAAGTGGGAAGCAGTGGATGAATCGGAACTGGAAGCTCAAGGTTAGTTTTCAAAGTATATATTAAACTAAAACACTTCCCTAAGTAAACTGAAAGCTTAATGTCACTTACCTATTTCATGATTATTTTCAACTGATCTGTTTAAAAGTGCTAATATGATTTCTGTAGTAATACGGTAGGATTTTCACTTGTAACTTCTTTTTTTGGTTATAACTTCAGTGAAGAAAATAGGGTATTCTGTTTTTGTTATTCTACTTCAATAACCTACCAACCTTTAAAAATAGTTTCCAGTTCATTAAGAATAAATATTGAAAAAGAGTCTGGGTATGTGGTTGGCAGTCTTTGTTTGGAAGATAAGATCTTAAAAACGGACAAATACTTGGCTGCTTTTGAAGGATTTACTGAAACATGGTATGCAATGTAAGTGAATAGCTCTGTAAATAGTAAATATTCTGATAATGTGCAGTTTTGAGTATTTCTATGAAATAGAAACTCTGTATTAAGTGCTAGATGGTGGTAAATTTTATCACATTATAATTTTTATTGTATCTACAAATACTAATTTTCAGATTAAGTGATAGCTTTTTCTGTTAAAATTATCTTACTGTCTCTTCCAGCTGTTACTACTTCTAAGTGGGAGCTTTTTGACCAACATGAAGAATCTGAGGAGGAAGAAATTCAAAAGTAAATACTTTTTCATTCTGATGAAAAAATATTAGTTTTCTGCCTCTAAGGTTGAGTGTCTTTGGAACTCCCTATAAGTTCCCTATATGTATTATAAGAGCAGAACAAAAATGAAATTTTGAAAGTAGGAAAATAACAAAATGGAAAAAAATCAGGATTTTAGTGCAGCATGCTTTCAGCCCCCATAATTTTTTTCTAACACGATAAATTACACCTTTTGGTAGAGTTGTTAATCATAATCTTTAAATTGATGCTGATTTGATAACTTAATGTCATATAGGAAGGACTAAGGTAGTAGTATTTTACAGTTTGGAAATCTTGGTGTCAGATACGTCTGAATGTATCTAAACTTCTGTCTTTTGCTTTTGAGACAAACACAGTGAATAATGTTCTGTTGTATACGTTTCTTTGGATGCTAATAGACTCCGTGCCATCTGTTGTTTTTGAGCAGTTTTTTACTTTTGTTCTTTAGGCAATTGAGAGCATCTATCAGAAATGCTTTAAATATCTTACTGCATTGCATGTAGTCTTGCAGCACTCTAGTGGTCAGTTTGGGAATATAATTTTGAATATCTGCCATGTCTCAGGTTTGTCTCCAGAAAGCAAAAGTGTAGTAAATTTTGTTCTTCTATAAAACTTACTGTATCTGAAAAGCACGATTACAGCACTTAAAGAGATTTTGTTGAGGTAGTGGACTTGTTTTGTAGCTGAGTTAGATATGGATTTGGTGACTGTAAATTTAAAGAATTCTTCTGCACTCTGTATGAAAAGTGTAAATTAAGTAATAAAAACTAACAATTTAATTAAAGGAAAATACTAAGATATCTGTCTCGCCGATAGAGACTGTTTTGTAGCTGCAGACTTTTACATAACGTAATCTTACTTAACAGATTTCAAAACTAGTAACTAATCATAGAAACTAAGTGGGAGAGATGGTAAATTTTGTAACAGATAATTGTCTTAAATATATATGTATCAGTTAATTCTGTATGTCTTCTGTAAAGTCAAGAAGAAGAAAGTGAAGATGAGGAAGATACTCAGAGTTCTAAGTCAGAAGAGCAGCACATGTATTCCAATCCTATAAAAGAAGAAATGCCTGAATCCAAGTCATCAGTCAAATATTCAGAAATGAGTGAAGAAAAGCGTGCCAAACTCCGAGAGATAGAGGTCAGCATGTGGTGTTTTGTGCCACCCTTCTGTACCTTTCCAATCTTCCCCCCCAAGTACTCTACATATAATAGGGAGTTATTTTTACTGAAATAATTATAGTCCTATTATGTGGTGGCTTTTTTAGTCCAGTGTATTTTTATAAAGGTATGTTTGTTTACAGCCTTGCCTTGCCTTGTTTTGGCTTTCAAAATAATGCAGGAAAAAATGAAAAATTGAGTCAGTGGATATTACATGTTGAGAATTACTCTTCTTTTTCAGTGTCCTTTTTCAGTACCACTGGTAGCCTTAGATTGCTTGGGTTCCTTTACACTTTCCTCCTCTTGGCAAATGGGAGTGAGGATGTGGCATTAGTCCTATGCCTTTCTTGTTCTCTCTGTCTCTTGCCTTGAAATGTCTGTATTTTATTGCATTTGAAAGTTGCTCTTTTCAGTGTGTCAGCCATCGAACAAAGTAGTAGATGCAACTAAACCAGGTGGTCCTGGAAATGGGGCATTTTAATTGAAGACCTACATGCAGTTTGTAGGGCTCACTCGTTCTTTTATCCTTTCTCCAAGCATAGGTTTTAGTATAGCTGTTAAGGTTGATGAGTACAGATTCTTATGTCTTTATGCTGGCTTCTGAGCTTGTGGTTGACTGAGAAGGTAACTTGAACTTGAATTTAGCATGAGCTTTGTCTAGCAGTGAAGCCTTTCTGTCATACAGTGCCATGCAAAAACAGGTTTAAGATTGCATGCAACTTTCCAGCTTGTATTTGGTATTAAAACCCATGATAAATTGAATACTGAAATTCTTGTACCTTCTGTTCAGTGCATTAAAATGATATTAAGAAGGTGCTAAACTACTTGTTGCAGTTGTAGCATCTCCAAGTGACAGATTATAATTTGGGTAATATTTTGAAGGTGGAATTGTGGCTGTCTACCTATTTATGCTATAATGTAGCTAAAATCAGATATTAGCAAAGCCCCATAAGATGTACAAGCAATAATATTTTAAAATGTCACAACTGTTGTTTCTCCTAAATATGCTTCTGTTTAATAATTCAGATTATTGAAATTAATGGACTATAACTAAGCACTTAAAAACCTCTTGCTTTGCATAGCAGCTTGAAAGTTCATGATGCATAGCCATTTGAAGTGAGTAAATTCTGAATTTGAGAAAAGCTAAATGGGATTTATATCTGACTTGACTCATGGTGGCAGTAGTTCTGTAGAAATTATAGTAGAAGTGAAACTAGTTTTCATTTTGCTGTAATAATGATTGTAGTGGTTATGGAAAGGGCTCTTTGCAGATTGAGTATCTGTTTTATAGATGTTATCCTGGCAGCTGTGGAGGCAGATTAGGAAGTGATTTACTTTAACCATTGTCAATTTTACACTGCACAAGTGTTGTAAGTTTTTTCACCAATGTATCCCCTCTGTAACAGTTTTAGGTGGTAAATATTTGAGGTTTTAAAGTGCATGTTGCCATCTTTATTCTTTGTGGTAAGTAAATTACCATTTCATTTCAGACTTTCGGAATCTCCAGAAAGGGATTGTAATTTTTTTCATTTTCAGAACATTTCAGACACTATGTAGAAGTACTTAAGTTTTAAAATTTCTCCTCAAGTTTGTCATTGACAGGAAAGTACTCCCTGTACTACTTTAAAGCATTCACACTCAAAGTTTCTTCCTAGTATGTACCCAGTCCCTGCCAAAGAACACATCCATTATTAAATCTGAGGGGAGGAACTGAGGGAAAAAAGCCCCAATTACCAGCTTTAACAATTATGCCATCTAATATACACTGTTAAAAATGTTGTGTAAAATCTTTGGCAAAAAAAATGGCAAAGTCTGATTCTCCAGCAGTTTACACATTTACTACCAGGGAAGCTGAAACACATTTTTTCACACTTTCTTTTTGAAATTCATGAATACAAACAACAATTCTTTCTCTTGGCACAGTTAGTAAATTAAGTTTGTCAGCTGGGAGGGGAAGTGCAGTAAGAAACAAGCTTTGGCCACAGTCATCAGACTGGTGCCATCAGAGAAGGCAAGTTATTAACCGTTTGTTTGCCTTCCCCCATACCCCTGTTAACCTTGCTGAAGTGTGAATTCTTTCCAGAACTTAGCAAGAGCAGAGGCTTTTTTGTAACACCGAAGAACAGCGATTTCTTTACTGTTTTTTTTAAGCGTGGAAAGATTGGCACTTTACTTTACATTATAACTCAAATTTCAGAATGGTCTTTACAGTGCTGTACATGTGTGTGTCTCTCAAAAAACCAAGGACGTATAAAAGAAAGGTGTATTCCTCTTTGTAAAGAGACATCAGTGCTGTGAAGTGTTAGAAAAATGGGAATTTCACGTTGCTTCAGTTGTTCATTGAGCTTGTTTCCTCAGAGCATACAAAAACTCACAGACAAAGTGAAGCAGCATTGTCCGCCTTGGACCTTTCTCTAAGGTACTTTACTTCTGTCTCCATCTTGCTGCGCAAGATTTTATAATCCTACCCCAAAACCACAGCGCAGGCTTCATCTGCAGCAGGAGGCAGGCTCTTCACGAATCCAGACGTACCAGTGCTTCCAAAAGGGTCAAACAGGAGATTTGTCCTCTTTAGTAGCTGCCTTTACTCACCTTTGTGTTAGCTATCCGAGACCTCAGAGTGGTGTTTGATTGCTTGATCAGAGGTAGAAGACTAATGGTCTTCAATCTTCCTGTTCAGCCTTTCTGCTATGTACCACTGAGCTCAGAGATTTATTTATTCCCCCCCTCCCCCCCAAAAATATGTCATGGTATTTGAGGTGCAATTTATTTTTCTACTGAGACCCAAAGAAGTTTTTCCTGCGTGTCACAAAGGAAAGGAGGTTACTCTCCTTCCTTTCTTAATACGAATTGCTGTACCAGACAAGATCAAAGTTCCTTTAGTGTAGTATTCACTCTCCAACAGAGAATGACTAGAGCACGAGATAAGAATAGCTTAAGCATAGTCCACAAGAGCAGATTGTATCCGAGGCCTGTTCTGGATTTCAAGGCCCTGTATACCTTTGTCAAGAAACTGAAGTTCCATACAGTTTCCATTATTTCTTTCTCTGGATTATGATGCTTAGTATGCAGAATACTCACTTTTGTGTATTTGTTCATCAAGTCATAGGAGCTCTCTGAGGCTTGATATCATCATTAGAACAATATAAGCCTTTGGTCTTTACAGTCTGTGGAGGTTTCTGTACCAAGCTCATTTGAGGCCACTGCAAAATGGCAAAAAGATAGCCAATTAAATATCTTATTCATTGCGGCTTAATAATAACAGATGAGACAAATTGGCTCTTGCTTGACCAATAGTTTTGCTATTTATAGCAGTTGTTCCTTAGAAGATAATGACTATCTTAATTCAGCATTCTGGTCTATTTTAAATCTTTGAGCCTACTTCTATTTTACACAAAGACAAAAGCGAGGAGTGGCTTAGCTCCAAGACACGTGGCATCATGTGGGTGTGATTGAACATGCCAGAGGTTTGTTACAGCTGAAGAGGTATTTCACATGCGTACATCAGTATCGCTGTCATCTGTTGTTGATAATATTGTAGCTGTAGAAATTCCACCTCTCATAGACTCGCTGGAAAACTCATGCTTTCAAAGCAGTATTTTGCTCTGCTTCTGGCAAAGTCTAGGACTTGTTGCAGCCATTGTTGGGATGAGTCTGTTTTAAGGAAAAACAAAACACTTTGGTCTGCTCCGATGTCTATCCTGTCTGTAATCAGTCTAGACTTGAGTGCAATTATATATCAAGCAGAAATTCCTATCTTTCATCACACATCTGGTGATTAATTTCCTAGTTAATCCTAGTATGTAGTATGCAGCTAATTTACCTCAAATAAGTTGTGTTTGAACCTGGGCACTTAAGTTCTGAGGCTGTCTAAGGCTGTGGAATAACCTCTTGTGAAAAAGCCTTTTTTTCCGCTGAAGACCACTGTGTATGGACTCAGACAGTAACAGCAGAAGATTAGAAAACCAAGAACAGTTTTTGAAAATAGATTCACTTTAAGCAGGGGGGGCTACCCACTGCACACCTGTTTGTCAAAATGCAAAAAGCTACGGGCAGGGCTTTAGTTTGCATCAGTCTGTGGTTTCCCTGAACCATGGTGGCAAGATGTTACCCTTTTCTGTGACTTGCTCGCTTACTGGTTAGTCTGTAATCAAGGCCTCAACTTCTAGGAAAGGCTGAATCTTTTAAACTCTCCTCAAGTGAGTTTGAGAGGAGAGGGGGAAAATTTCAAGATGAGAACCAATAGACAAGAAGCATGTTGCGGAGCTGTTTATCTTGAACTTACGAGAGATACTTCCTCATGGTTAGTGGGAAATATGATCCCTGCATTGGAGCATTTAGTAGAGATTGTTCACAGGAACTCCAAGATATTTGACACTTCTGCATTGCAGTCTCTGAAAACCTCTAAACTCTATCTGCTGTGGGAGACTGCTATGTCTAAGAAATTAGTATTACGAAGTTTTGGCACAGGGTTTTGAAAAATTTTCCCCTTCCATATTATCATGCGTATTACTGACTCCAGAGATAGTTTAGGTAAAGTCAATGTATCTACTCCTAAGGATGAATAGGCTTAATAGATTTTGTCTGTTGGACAGGAATAGTTATGGAATAACCAATTCAATGAGAATATATTAGTTCTTTCTAAATGCAAGTTTACGAAGTGTAATGCTTACAAAATTCATTGATTAGATGCTTACGCAGATTTAAGCCAAAGTTTTAAGGATCTCTTTCTCCTTGGCCGGGGGGGTATCTGGAGGTGTATGATAGGAATATAAGGATCATGTTCTCTACATGAGATCAGTAAGAAGAGTGTTCACTATGGCCAATATGCTATGAATAGTCAAATGATGAAGGGAGATAACCAAACGTGTAAGTTTATATAGTAATTCTGAGTGGTAGAATTCTTTAGAGATTTTTTTTCCCGGACTTTGGGATCTAAGTGTTTCCTTTTCTTTTAAAACATAGTTGCCGTGGTGGTGTTTTAGAGCAAGTAGCAAAAGCTGCTATACATAAAGGTGTAGGATGAGCTGATCTGATCTAACTGCTTACCTCTGCTGAAAGGGAATGTCCTGATCCTATCTGCAAGCTCTGGCACTTGCTCATTCTTCCCCTGAGCCAATACATTTCACTAATGCAGAGGAAAAACAAATCGAGGGTGTGTGGTGGGCTTCTGCTGGATTAGTGGATTGATCTGGCTTATGGAAGGCACAGCCAAGCGCTGAAGCTGCTGCAAGGGTGGGGTGGAGGAGGAACCCTTTGCTTGGAGTGCAGGAGTGGAGAAGGAAGGTGGAAGAGAATGATCTTTCTGTAGTGAGCTGTTGATATCATCTCAGCATTTTGTAACACTTAGTCTCCTTTTCCAGGGGATGTACTAGAGCTGACTTCCTCTGCCCACAACATCTTTCTAAAGGGAGTCAATTTACATGGGTTCAAAGGGAGATACAGCAAGTATGTGGAAGAGAGATGCATTGATGATTCGTCTGTAAAAGACCACAGCTGTCTCAGGAAACCACACGATCTTTGCATAGTTGGAGTCTGGGGAGGTGTTGAGTCAGTGGTTATTGCATAGGCTTTTCCTATTTTTCCTCTTGTCCTCTAGGCACCTGCTAACGACCACCTTTCCCCACCCCCACCCCATCCACAGTTATTGGAAAAGTTACATGCAGATAGTTCCTCTTGGGATTTTAAATTTCATGCCAGCAGTGGGTTGTGTGTCATGCATGTAAGACAGGCTGCTAGAAGTTCAGCATTTCTCTGTGTCCAGATTAGCTTATTAAATCAAGTAAGGCCTGTTGATTGGATTCCTAGTTTTCTTTCATTTCAGGTTACTTTGGGCTATCAACTTATGCTTCCTTGCTTTCAAAATATGGTTAAAAAGAGATAGTGTCACAGCTTTGTTGGTTAAAAATGTAAGGAGGTAAAATCTTGTAAGGATGGGTTTTTGTTTTGTGGTTTTTATTGGTTTTTTGGGGTTTTTTGGTTTTTTTTTTAATTATCTGGGTGATTTAGTTGGGGAAAACAAAGTAGAAGTCTTACGGGCATGTTCATACCATGACAGCCCAAGATGCCTTCTGGATCAGCTAAGCCTCCTCTGTACTTTTTGTGTTCGGTACTGAATGTGCTAAGCAACTAATGGCCGTGGAGTTTACATGATGGTAGAGAATGCAATCTTGATTTCTTACCAGAACAGGTGGTACAGGGTGACACTGAATATATGGTTCCAAGAGGTATTCCTGCTTTTGAAACTTCTGCCATTGAAGGGGGGGAGAAGAAAAAATGCGTTTATGGGAGGTGGAGTGGTATGTAACAAATGACAATGTCAGTTTTCCATTGGCTGCTGACTATTTAATTGGCTGAATTGTAAGCAAAAATGAAAAATGCTCAACCATAGGTAGAGCATACTCTGTAAATGAGGGAGGTTAGCAGAACATTTGTCAGAAATTTACCGTGGTACAAGATAGCAATGCCCCTTTCCCCCACCCCAAACAAGTTGCTCCATCGCGTTTGAGACTAAAATGAAAAATGTGTTGTTGACCTTTCCTTTCTGCTCAGTCAGTAATTGGAAGGGCTGATTAGAATATATGGTATCTTTGTATCCAGTCTGGCCTGCTGCTTTTGAAAGGGTTTGATTTTGTGCCTACTTTGTATTAGGGAATTGAGGACCTGGAGAATAAGAATCTTTTCAGATAATCAAAATTGCAAAGTTGCAAAGTCTTTTTCTTTGTGGTTTTTTCAGTGTGGAAGAGTTAAATATTTCTAAAGAGAAAAATATTTTATGTGTTTGCTAAAAATGAAACCTCAAGCACTGGAAAAACCTACTCATATATATGACTGTGCAGGTCAGTATTGAAACAGGAAATACAGAAGGGTCGGGGCATAAACATTTGGAAGAGGGCTGACAAGTACAACATGACTTATTACCAAGCTCCTCCCCATCCCCCAAAAAAGAGACACTTCCTCATCCAAAAAAATTGAAAGATTGTTTGTAAACGGCCGTGTCAGTAAGAATAAAAAATTGACAAATGATAAGAGATGTGAGTGAAGTTTTATGATGTGAATAAACTTGAGAAAGATTTTAGTGTATCTAGACCAAAAAAAAAATCCACACGGAAAAACTCTGACATTTGCTTAACTTTGTGACTCAGTTGGGGATATTATCACAGTAAATTTAGTGTTAAGTTTAGCAGCACTAGTGAACTGAATTTTGTTGCTAAGCTTGATATCACATGGAAGAGTATTATGTTAGTAAAAATCACTTCTTTCAAATCAGCCACTCTGTGCAAACAACCCTGAAGAGGAGTTGCATTTGTTTTATGTCCTAATTATGTCAGTCATTTGATTTTAGTATTTAGGGTTAAATGGAAAAAAGGCAGTTTCTAAAGGAAAACTTGGAGTAGACAAGGGAAGTTGAAACAATATATTAAGACACCTGCAGTAAATGATCTCATTTTGAAAGAAAAAAACAGATAATGATCTAAGAAATATAAGGGTGCAGTGTTCTAATGATGGGAACAGAATTTAGTAGAATAACAGAAAAAATCCCTTTATTTTTAGTTCTTAACATGTCTGTAAACAACTGCAGGTGCCTGCAGATGAGTATGCGGTTTTGTTGCTTTGATCCAGTTTAAATAAAGTTAGTATCTTTTTGTGCAGAAACTTGTATAGCAAGAATGAAGAACACAGATTATAAATCATGGAAATTTCATTTTCAGCCACCTGCCTAACTGGATAATAATAAGCCCAATAACCTAATGGTCAGTATTATTTTCACAGCTTAAGGTGATGAAGTTTCAGGATGAGTTAGAGTCTGGGAAAAGACCCAAGAAACCAGGCCAGAGTTTTCAGGAACAGGTTGAACACTATAGAGACAAGCTGCTCCAGAGGGTAAGAAATGTTCTTTATGTTTGGCTCTCATTCTGTGATAGGCTTTTATTGAGTTTATCAAATGTAAGGTGGCATTAAGTATAACAACACATGGTTCTCGTTAAAATTCTACTGTAATGTCAAACTGCATGTCTAAGTCGAAGTGCTTTCTGCAGAGTAGATAAAATCACTCTTTTTAATCAAAATAATGTAGTATTTCACACTGTACAGATGGGTATCATTAGAATGTATTGAAACCTTAAAGAGGTCACTTCTGGATCTACTACATAAAGCAAACTGTTAGGTGTGGGAAAAGAAAGGGAGAGCTGTCAATTGAAGATGTTCTTCAGACTTTTCATTTTGCTTTTTAGAAATTGATCTTTCAAAGGAAGAGAAAGAATAGTATTAAGCAGCATATATGCTTCTGATTCTCCAGTGTCTAAGATTTCCTGGATAATTCCAGCTCATACTGTCACCCAAAAGTGAATAATTCTGTACCATTACCATTTTTAGTAGTCCTCTCTGGACTATGAAGTCAGAGCGGCTTTAAAAATTAGCATCATATATGTGACGTCATGTGATCTTGAATCTTTGAAACATAACGAAAGAACATGTAACCTGTTCAGACAATGCGTTTAGTGAGAGAGAGTAAGTGGCAGTTGCTTCTTTAATCTGGTTTCACAGCCTGAGAGATCCATGATGAAATTAGGTACCCATGCAGTTTCTTGGAAGCTAAATACAAATAGGTAGTTTTCACCAGGTGTTTGTCTGTCATTTGTTCTTTACATTATTTGGTGCTCAATATCTGACTAATTCACTGAAGTAATTTTGCACAGTACCTTGAAGAAAGAGACTTGTAAAAATTAAGAAAGCTGATCCCTGAAGGAGATTTACACATTCGGAGGTTGATGTTAGCAGTTAAGACTTTAATTTTTATAAGTAACTTTCCTTTTAAATGTAGTTGTATCCTAAAACTTCCCAGTTCCTCGGTGTTTTCTGTAACTGGAGAAAGAAGTGATTTGTACAGTAAGCACAGAATGTTTAGTGAGACAGTAGCTTAAAAAACCAGAAATCGTAATCCTGATAACTTTGTTAGATGCCTTGTGTTGAATTAGTTCAACCAGCTTGCAATATTTTAGGTTTTTAGTAATTATCTCACTTTCACTTTCAATGATGAAGGTAATATTTAGTTAAGAAATGTTTAATGGTAATTATCACAGGTGTTCTTTAAAACAATAATAACCCTGTTAAGGGAATAACTCCATCTTTTGCTTTAATGCTATAATAAAGTTAGTTTGTGTAATAATAATGTAATACTGGTTCTGATTGCATTTCCCATGAACTTGGTGGTTGGTCATCGTTTTTTGTCTAATTTACTATGAAATAAGCTTTCCAAGAGTAAATTTCCTGGTAGTATTATATATTCTTAAGAGAATAGGAACTATAGCTATTTAAAATACTGTTTATTCCTATTTATTAAGATGAAATAATTAATTATGCTATCAAATAAGCTAGACACATCTTAAGAGCCCATTGATTTTAGTGGAATCTAACAATAGTTTGCAATAGTAGGTATAATGATAAGGGACAGTTTATAATTTTACTGGTAAGTCTTCCATGTAAAGAAAATGTGAGACTAGATTAGTATAGCTGTCCTGGTATTTCCTGCACTTGTGTTATTGTCTCCCCTTCCTCCTTCTCTCTCCCTTCTTTCATTCAGCTTAATCACCCCTTCTTTGTCTTCTTTATGGGTTGTGCAGGGACTATCTGTTTGTTTTTTGCCATGAAAGGAATTTTTTTTTTTATGCCAGTACTGAAAGAAGCACATCTCTTTATCTCCGTGTTCAGACTTCCTGATGGTTCAGGTTTATTTCTGTATAATTAATTTTCTAACTATTTGACAGACAAATGAGGTGTGCTCAGGTTATGGGTTTTTTTTCAAAATGGTCCTGTTGGTATATAGAAATGGACCATATTTGTGGGGATTTTTGACAGAGTAGATGTTATTGCAGAATCTTGTTTGTATTTTTGTTTTGTCTTTAAATGTCTTGTAGTTGTGAGATTATCTCAATTTTCAATCTGGATTAATGAAGATGAATGCATATGTTTTAAGTAGAAAGAGGTTCCTGGTATTCTTTCATGTTTAATTTAGTTTAGAAAATCTATTACAGCTGTAATGTTTCCCTGAAATTTGTAAAATTGAAGACTGTTCATTTCCAATTAGATACTCACACTTTCTCACATAGGGTGACATCTTTCATGTTTTTGTCAGTGTACAAAGCAGTAGTAAAGATTTGAAGAGCGGGTATGGTGAGACCATTAGTTCCTTCCCAGATTATGTGCTGTGTCCTTCAGTGCTCAGTGCTTTTATGCTGTTTGTGATTAGCTTGATTGTCTTTACTTAATAATTAGTCACACCTTATCTGAAATCATGAATACTTCTAATAACTTAGGAAAAAGAGAAAGAGATGGAAAGAGAACGGGACAGAGACAAAAAGGACAAGGAAAAATCTGAATCCAGGTCGAAAGATAAGAAGGAAAAGGAGGAATGTACACCAACAAGAAAAGAGAGGTATGGCTTTCCTTGGAGTAAAGTGGATGGGAGGAAAAACCTCACAGTTAGTATCTTTGTTAGTATACAGTGGCAGCCTTGAAATTACGTTGTATCAAGCATCTTATTTTAAAAGGAAAACACAAAACCACCCAAACAAAAAAAACACTCAACAACAAAAAAAACACACTTTGAATGTTAAAACATGCTTCAAAATTTTAAAGGAATTGTAATTTTTATCCTGCCCCAGGTGACATACCCTTTTGAATAGAATTCCCTTTTGGCTTATTTAGGCCCTGAGGAAACATGGTGAAATAATGACCAGTTGAAAACGGTATATTTAACTCTCTTTTAGCAGTAAATTGACCTCAGTGTATTAGTCAGAAAACTATACTGAAGTAATACCACAAATTATTTGCGGTGGTTTAAATGTTATTTATCTCATAGTGAGAATTCTTCAAAACAACTAGTTTTAGGGTTGTACACTCTGCTCTTCTAATACTTGCAGAGCCAAACTGTTCCATGGTATTAAATGTAGATACGGTAAAATGCCTTGCTTTTCAGGAAACTATGACAGAATGTTTTTACACTGCAAAAAAACAAAGCTGAATCACAGGCCTTAATTTTTTTTCAACCAGAGAAAATCTGATGCACATGTTGAACTTTTTTTTTTTAAGTAATAAAAAGCCTGCTACTTTTTAATTACTTAAAAGGATCTAATGTTAAATTGGCAAAAGAAAATATGTACAGAAAGGAATACATTTTCTTAATATACATTTTCACTTCTCTGTGTGTTTCTGCATGTGTGTGTGTACATAACTGTATTTGCTTTCTTTATAAAGGAAAAGACGACACAGTGCTTCACCTAGCCCATCGCGCAGCAGTGGTAGTAGACGAGCAAAATCTCCGTCACCAAAATCGGAACGCTCAGAGCGCTCTGAACGGTCCCACAAAGAGAGTTCACGTTCTCGGTCATCACATAAAGATTCTCCCAGAGATGTCAGTAAAAAAGCCAAAAGGTAAGCTGGTATCTTCTCTATTTCAGGTTGTAGGAAATTTAAGTACATAGGTGTGTTTTGGTTGGGTTTTTTTGTTTGTGTGGTTTTTAGCAGAGCACATTTGATACACAAGTATTTTCTCTCATAATGGACTATACTGTATGTTCCTGGTTAATATCTTTGGACAGTTGGTGTCTGAAATGTATACGGCCTCCTGCCTTGATAGCTCAAGACTCTTCACTTCTATGTTTTTGTTTACCTGTTTACTGATAATTTTGAGAAATACTGCTTTAAACCAAAGCACCTTGCTGCTTTATTAGCTTTTTATTTTCAAAGGACAAATCTTCTGTAGCCCATAGAACTTCTAGAATTACAGTAAGCATGCAGTATTTCACTCATGATTTGCTTACATGAAGCTTCTCTCCCATGGTTTTTGTTTCCGAAGTAGGTATTTCCTGATCTCCAGACTGACACAAATATTTGTCTCTAGTTAATGTTAAACTTGGGGTGAGATTTTATTACTGTATTGATGCTTTTGTAGCTCAAAACTCGAAAGTTCAGCATCCACTTATTTTAGGGGTGTAGAATATCTTACTGATACAAGATTCCTCAGACATGCTGAGCAAAATTCCTTTGATGCTGTTGAGAAAATAGTACGTATTTACAGTAATCAGATTCTTGTGTTACAAGTTAGGAATTCAAATAAAGTAGAAAATTATTTGAGATTTTTTTTTTTTTTTTAGAGTTAATATGATGGTCATTCAGTTTAGATTATATCAGATTAAAGTATTAATGACAGTATTAGATGTCAGGTTAGATGACAGTAAATTTATTCAGTATCCATTCTTCTTCTGTGAGGTTACATCACAAGCTGGACATGTGTGATGAGAATCAAAAGTATTTCAGCATAACACAATTCAACATAATTTTTCATTTCTGTTCTCTTCTGTAAGGATATGGGCTGCTATTAATACAAGAGCCAAGGTGGTTGAGGCGTATGTTGGAAGGATGTGAATTCCTTATGTTGATTTAAGAAGGACATGAGTTGGTGTTGTTTTTCTTGTGGGTTCTAAGCACTGAAGTTAAGTCAAAAAAACATTAAAAACCTTAAAATGCAAAAATTGTTTTTTTTTTCAAAAGCAAGATATCGTTCTGTTACTTCCCCTTACTAGAGAAAAATATTTTCTACATATTGGCATTAAATAAATGAATGCCAAATAAGTGAAGAAAAAGTTGGTATTATCAATTAGTATTTGACATAAAACTTTATTTTTCTGCAGGTCACCATCTGGCTCCAGGACACCCAAAAGATCAAGAAGATCACGATCCAGATCCCCTAAAAAGTCAGGGAAAAAATCCAGGTCTCAGTCCCGTTCTCCTCACAGATCTCACAAGAAGTCAAAGAAGAGCAAACACTGACAATGTTAATATTTTTTATGATGCTGTCACTTACTGGAAATGCGGTTTTGTTTTTGTGCCTGAACAGTCTGTTAAAAAAACAAAAAAGCATTCCTGATTTTTTTTTTTTGTGAATGCACGTGTATACTCATGAGTATCGGCATCTGTAGACCTATCATTGTTTTATATTGTACAAAATATCTTCATTGTGACTATTTCCCAAAAGAAACATTTTTGTGTTTAGAAGTTTCATCAGAAATGTGTGTAACTGATCTGCTGGCAGTAGTGATATTTTGTTTTAGAATGTTGTGACATAGCAGAAATAACTCAAATGTTCCCCCTTTTTGTAGCTTTGACAATTTGAATTAGATTTCAAATAAAATCTGAACAGAAAATTAAGATGTTGTTTTCTTGCCCCAGTGGTGATACAGATCTCTAAAGGAATTCATAGTTTGTTTGGAAGTACTGTGTATTTCAGACATACTATGGTGTTTAGATCTTTCAGTATAGTGGTAGCTCTGTTCCTGTGTTCACTAGTTTGACTATCCAGAAAAAAGCACCTTTTGAATCCAGTGGATGGGTTTTCTTTCCTACCGTGATATTTTACTGTAAGAACAGTTGAACAGTCTGGTACCTACCATGATAAGCTTTACAAGTAAATCTTTGCTTCGTATTTCTCCATTTTAATTGCAGGGAGTATTTGTGACACAGGAGTAATGTTTTTGTTTGCTTTTAAAAAAGGGCCTCTGCAGAGATGCATCATATGTATGTGTACGTATATCATATATATGATGTATCAATAACAAGCCATATTTATGGCATGCATGGGGAACAATAAAAGGACAGCAAGCCTGAGGCTTTGACTTCTTCCTTAAGTATAGGTATAATAATTGCAACCTACAGTACACTGTTGTTTTCTAAAACTGATTCTTACTCCAAAAGGACAGCTTTTGCATTATTTTATTGAATTTATTCCTCTGTTGTGGAAATTTTTCAAAATGGGAAAAAATTAATTTTTTTTAATTACGTATTTTATTTATTAATATTTTGGAATCAAGAGGCTGTTTAACTTCTTTTTAATGTTAGGCTTTCCCTTCTCCAACCCTGTTCTGTGTGTTAGGCATTGATGTGGCTTTAAATCGCTTCACCTTGGTCTCTTATCATGCAACCTTTCTGGGGGGGGGAGGGACGAGAAATGGGGAGGGTTCAATGTTTATACTTGAAGGTGTGGGCAGTTTGTAATAAAAACATAAAATGAAAAGGGATCTGGCCTCCTGTGAACTGTTTCTAAAAGCAAAGGCTGTACTTAACTACAGGCACAGTGCTGGATGATGGCCTGCTATTATACTTGTGTGTCTACAGGTTTTACATTGTTAGAATTTTGTAAATGTGCCAGGGAAAAGCTTATGTTGTAAATGTATGTAGCCTAAGAGGCAACACTTTCAGAAGCAGGATCTAAAAGGTCCTTTGAAAAACGTGCATATTTAATTAAAAAAAAAAAAAATTCTCCGTTTTTTTCCTGATGGGAGACTTTGTTATAAGATTATATAAATTGTTGCAAATGTGAGAGTTAAGTGGAAAATTCTGTTTGCTAATGCGAACTGAGAGATGATCTGAAATACTGAAAATATGGAGAATGCATGTGTACTGTAAAGACTTTCTTAGAATGAGTATTGAATACATGCATTAATAATGAGAAAAGAACACACCTATCTGTTTATATTGCATTATAAAGAATCTGTTTTAGAAATATGCAGAGTTTATTTTTTGTATTTTTCTTTCTCCCTGTAACATAAGGTGTTTCAGATGTACAGATTTTGGTAGCTAAACTATTAGAAACTAAGTTATTTTTTTCTTAAGTGCTGTGTATTCACACCTGGCACAGACTAGATAAGGTTTTCTAGAGCAAAAAGTAAGTACTAAAATCAGTTGTGGAGAGGGAGAATCCTAACTTTACAATAGGAAGATGATGATTTCAGATCAGATTAACTTCTTTAGATCTGTTACTTTTATCTTGTAGCTGTTTATAAATGGAGGAGTGATAAATGGCAATGTTCTAGGTGAACTAAAGATAGTTTGCTACAGGAATATTCCATCTGCAGAATCAATTGTGTATTTCATTTAATAGCTAAAAATCCTCAGGGCAGAAAATCACTTAGCGTTATAGGTTAGCCATACTTTTCAATAATTAATTTTGATTTCAGCTTTTATAAAATTCTCAGTGATTATAAAAGGCTCAAGCCAAGTAGCTAGAGAGCTAAAGGAGCACGCCCATTAGACTTTATTTCATAATACCTTTATTATGCAATACCTTTTTTCAGTATCTTTGTTCTCTGAATATCACTCTTGTACCTCTTGTTCTTTGCTTCATATGCTGGCCTTTAGAAAAGCTGTTTTGTACCTAATAGTCTTTTAAGAGCAATGAAGAATCTGTATATGTAACTGGATGCCTGTTTTTTTTTCTCCTATTGAAAAGAACATCTTTTGATCCTACTTACTCTTTTCATTTTCTTCCCTTCTTTTAGAAATAGTTTTGTTTATAGCTTGGCTTTTCTGCAAAGAAGGGGTGGGGGAGACAGCATCTGGTAACAAATCTTTTGTAAAAGATGCAAATTATTATTGAAGACTGAAAATTAGGCTGCCTGTGAAGTTTATTTTTCCTTAGGTCATGTTGCAGTGACAAGGCATAGTTGCAGTGTGCCATTACTGTGTGACTTGTGTTTCTGCAGCTTTTTGGGGTGAAATGGTGAAAAAATCATCTAGTTGATGTAGGATAGAGGTAATTTAAATATTGATCTTGGGATCAAAGTAGCATTGAGATGAATCCTTGTGACAAAAAGCTCTGACCTGATGAGGAGGCGTGGTCCAGTGTTTCCAAATGTTTTTTGTGACTGTACGGGAAGAGGAGAGCCCATTATATCCCCTAACGCCCCCCAGTCAGTGAGCGTCCAACCCCTCGCTTTGGGAGGGGGAGGAGGCATGAGTGGATAAGGGGCTTCTCTGTCCTCTCCTGCCCTGCCCTATGGATGATAGCCAAGGCAAATATTCATGCTTTAGTGTTTAGGTTTACCCAAAGCAGAGAAACGGAGTGTAGCTTGCTACAGCTGAGCTCTGGTCCAGCTGAGTAACCCCTGCAGCCTGAAACAGTAGCCGGTGAGGCCCATCTCCGTGTGGGATCACATTATAAATGGAACGTATATGGCGTATTCCCAGGTAGGTACTAGAGACTGTCGTGCTGGTACATTTTGGTGAAGCCTACCCAGCGCTCTATAGGACATTCAGATATTTATGCAAAGGCCTTCTAGGTACGGAGTTGCAAGTTCATCTCTGTTTTTTCTGAACCAGCCCTGGCCTCCGTGAGTAAGACTCGGACTCTCCCGCTGTGAGCTTGTGGGCCCTGTCTCAGTGGAGAAAAGCTACTTGGTGGCATAGAGTCTCCTTCCCACAATTAAAATCTTTCCTTACAAGTATTATAGAAGGGTTTCTAACTGAACTGCCTTTTTTAAACTCTGACTTCCTTTGACTTCTCTGCACACCAGCTGCATATACCTTTTGTAATACTATTTGAGGAAGAGTTGGTTTCTGAAAGTCAATGTCAAGTTATTACTTGGGCACTAAGCGCTGTGCATGTGTTCTCCCCCCGCCTCTCCTTGGAGGTTTTGAAGTGTAAGAATAAACCACTTATGAACAAGGGTAACAAATTATGTTTTCCAAAGCCTATATTTAGAATCGCAACTATTGCTAACATGAGTTCATCTGTTCCAGTCACACTGAATGTACTCCGGCTTTCTGCATTTATAAATCACCTTCTGTACTAATATAGCAGCTCTGCCTAAGCACACGTGAACCCTTTAAAGTTGCTGGATTATTCTATTCATTGTGGTTTTCTGCATGTAAAACTACTACCATGCTTTTTCAATTACAGACTTAGGATTATCCCCACCATTGGGGTAGCTTTCAAACTTGAACTGGTTTTATTTAATAAATTTCTGAGGCAGATTTTATAGCTGAAACTGTGTGAAAATTGTATTGGACTTCCAATCTGGCATGAGTACTGCCTGAGCCATCTAAGTTACGGAGCACTAAAATGGGAAATCCAGTTTTATCCTTAGGAGGTTCCTGGGGATCAACCAGTGTTTGAGGCGTGTTCTTGGCATGTTGAAAAGAAAATAGTGCTGTCTCTGAACTGTGCCTGTAAGAGGAAGGTGTCTTGAAGGAATTGTGTAACATGACTTAAAAACTAGAATCTTGTGATGAGAAAAGCAAGATCGGCCAAAAATGGCACATCTGTTCTCAGCATCTTTGATGACTTCAGGCAGCTTGCTTGTGGGTTTTTCCTCCACATGCATTTACAGTCCTTTGGTGGAATTAATGCATTTAAAAAATGAAAATGAGAAGCGTTGTTTTATTTCTGCAGATGGATTAAGGTCTGAACTTTGTAACTAGTTCTAGATTGCTGGCTTGCTTTACTTTCATATGGCCGCTTCAGGAATTTGGGGTGAGATGTTTCTCAACTGTTGGGGCCTACACTGAATACTTACATAAGGACACATGTATTTGGCTGCATTAAGGTAAAGGTAGTTTTGAAGGATGTTTGAATTGCTGCCTTTTTAGTAAAGATTGGTCTACTTTCTATGCATTTTCTTTGTTGAAAAATCTAGATTTTGGGGCACTTACGAAGGTCCAACAAAAGAAGTGAATTATCTACAGCTGAAGACAGCAGTAGTGGAATAATCTAGATGAGAATTTTACAGTTCTCTTATTTGAAAATCAACTGTTCAGTATCATGAGATTTATCAAATTACAAACTTGATACTAGCAGTCAAATCCTGAAAATTTTCTCAGTTTACTTTTCTGAATAAGGCTGTTGAGTTCATAAACTTACATCTTATCAAAACAGCTCATAGTAGTATTTGAAAATTTCTTCTTGTTCTCATTGCTGCATGAGCTATTGCAAGACTTTCGGTATACCGCTGCTGTAACTGCTGCTCCTCAGTATGTAAGCTGCTCTTGTAAGAATCATAATTAAAATGCCAATTTAATTTTGTCCATGTGTAGTTTTCCCATGTAGGATGCAGAAGTCTTAAACAATTGCATACTATTTTTTTCTCCACCTGCTTCTGTCAGCACAGTCAGTTTTCATGGGTAAGCCTGTTCCATTTGTCACTTCTGATGTCTAATCTTGTGCAGGGATGTTCTACTGTGTAACTCTGTCATAAACTGGAAAGTTTTCTGTTTGTGGTTATTTAAAGAGGAAATGGTAGTTTCACATGAACTTTTTTGTCTTACTTGCTTTTGGTTTTGTATTTTATGCAGAAAATTTTCCAAATGACATGGTGACAATAAAATTGTCAGTTTGCCGATATCCAGAAATGGTTTTATTTTTAACCTGGAAAAGAGC